CGGTTACTCTACGTTGCGTCGGGCTAATTAATTTTCAGCAAAGTGTTTTAAATTAACTCTCCATTTACTCGCTTTTGTTAAATTATGGAGAAACATTTCATCATGTTAAAGTGTATGAATGACGAGTGATCACAATAATAACCTGCTAACTTGTATTATGTTTATTGTTACGTGTTTAGTTTCCCTTGAAAATTTTTGATTGAAAAGTATTTACTGGGCTTTCAGACTTGTATATACTCAAGAAATAAGATGATATTGCCCTCCAAGAGATTTAAGACTCTATCGATGCGGAATTATGAGATAAATTTTACAGTGGGCCACAGTTCCAGCCCATTACCGTTTTGCTCCCGCTCTCATCAAATGGTGATTATTTGCGATAGAACGAGACGACCACTCCCAGATATGGGCAGCTGGAACTGCGGCCCATAGTACATAGCACACCTAATGAAACCGACGGCCGCGCCGCGACACCAAGAGTTCAGGCCAAAAATCTACACATTACGTCCTTTAGTAACTCGCAAACACTTTAGTCAGGAGTTCACTCACATGCAAAAAGCATTTTTCAATTACCAAAATTGTCTGCTTTAGCCAACCTTAGAAATTAATCTCTTAGTGTAAATAAAAGTCAAAACAAACCATTGTTATAACTAACGCCATTTTTATAATAGAGGTGTAGTGTTCCAAATTACTTCCTTAATTACTCTTTTTGTACGTAATATACAATTAGGCGCAAGGACGATGCAAGTCCCGGGGGAGGAGGATAATCAATTGCGTTTGTCCATGGCAAAACGGAAAGCCACTCTGAGGGCGCGATGAAGCGATGCGACATTGACCCCCTAAAGTGGGAAAAAACTGCGAGCCACCGTCAGGAGTGGAGACGCCTGGTGCGGAAAAAAGTTAACGATTTCGAAGAGCAGCGGAAATCTGATCTTGATTCGAAGCGCGATGCTCTTAAAGCCAGACCAGCAGCGGCTATCTCTTACAACTACATCAGCGGTGTCCCAACGTGTCGACATTGGCTACTGTAGCCATATGAGGGCACATGATAGGGCAGCCCAGCGTAGCCCTCTTATTGCGGACTAAGGGAATTTTGTCATAGTTACCGTAGCCGAAAGCGGCTTGGGAGTATATACTATAAAATAATAATTGTAATGTGACATGCAATAAACGATTTGAATTTGAAAGTAGTATGTATAACGCTGGCTTCTTATATCAAAAGAAACACATTTACACGTCCAAACATAACCTTAACTTAACTTTAAACTCTATCACTGCTTCGTAACAACATTTTTCAATACTCATCCATAATGCAACTCGCTCGCCAATACCACAGTCTTTTCAACACCTACAGTTCAATAACAATTTCAGCCATTATGCATCATTTACCTTCCAAAACACTAAACAAAACCATTGTGCGGTAAATAAAAGCAGAAAAGATTCTAACAATAAAGTACGGCAATATTTCTGGAGCTGGAGAGGAAGTGAAAATATAAATCTTTAAGCTCGAGGTGTCTTAGGCGCATTTGATTTAAGTAGTTGCTGGAGTTTCGAAAACTGTTTAAATTGCGGGGATATTTACATATTCAGAGATCAAAGAATTTACAGTTTCTGCTACGTTTCAACAAGATAATGTTTATTATGGAATGATAATCTAGTATTTAATTTTATGTATTTATGGGAAAACGCATTCGACCGTTAAAAAAACGCGCTATTTCCTTTAGAAAAGTTTTTGCAAAGAAGCCTTTTTTTACAAACAAAAAAAACTACAAAATGTATCAAAAATAATTAAAACATTACCCGTCATTAACTAGGAATAACATTTATTTTAAAGATCGGAATATAATTTAATGTCCTTAAACGAAATTAGTACGTAACAAAACGGAACTTTATATTTAGCCTCTTAATGAAGAATTGCCTAATACTACGTCAACATAACAGCCAAAGAAAATCCTCGCATTTTTCCTTTCAGCCTCTATCCGGACCTAATGGCATTATTTAATAAGCTCTACACAGACGAGAGCACATCAGGCTGTACACTTTTGTTGCAAAATGACTCTTATTACAATTACACAAGATGCCACAGTGTTAACTTTGATATGCTGTAGTTTGTACATTTGTGTACCTACTCTCCATTATTTCGGGTGACTGCGCATTATGAAAGTTCAGTCATTAGTATTACGAGTAACAACGAACACGGCCTTTGAGTAAAACCTAAGCTTTGCTTATTTCGAGATTTTATCACTTTTCTTTCTTTAACTTGGTGGTTACTTAATAATGTTAATAATTTTGCATTTTGTTGGTTTCGACTAGTATAGTCTGTAAGACATGTGACATTATATAATTGGACTTTACAGCCAACGGACCATTTTGTCTTCGTGGATGTCTAAACTTATAGGCATTTTTTTTAAAACAAGGTCAAGCCGTGGAGCGAAATTCCGTTAAGCATTTTATACATAATGAAATTATTTATTGATTAAAATCTTAAAAAATACTTAAAAATAAACACTAATATGAACTTCAATGCAATGTATTAACCATTACTTTTTCGTCTAAGCTATCCACTTTCAGAGTGCAAAGCTTAGTAAGATTCATTTTATTAAGCTGCATAATGAACGAACAAAATAAGAACTGCTACGAGCTACGGTTCGCTACGACGCGTCGGTGTGCCGTAGCTGCTACGAAATTGCATTCGAGATTTTTGTAGCAATGAGATTAGTGAGAGCACTGTTGAGGTTTCAACTTACAGAAGCGTAGAAAATATTTTGCAATTATTTTTTTATGCAAAAAGCAGTGCTACGAGAATGTTCAATGTTTTTATAGCTTGCACTTTACTTTAATGTTTCTGTAATCTATAAAATCTGATTAGGATTACTTGATTTTGAAATGAAATTTACTTTGCCATAGCTTAGTTAAATCTTTGCCAGGAAAGTAAATTAATATACAATTGCAAATCATAATTTGACGAACAAAGGATTCGACTCGAATTCGGAAATTCAATTAAAACGCATAATGAAATACAGGGTGGCTTACCACTGCCGTTTGTGTTTATCTTCCGATATTGAGGAGTTCAATTCTCAATTTATATTATGTAAATTCTACACTGATCCCATTACAGTATAGAAGAGCAGTAAGATTAAGGTTAGTCTACTATCAATGAAAATCAAGTTCTTGGTTTTGAGTTCTTGTCTCATCAACGTAGTCTGTAACAGATCAATGAGGGCTATCGTTTTAGCGCGCTCACCAGTTAGCGCCACTGTAGAGTGAGGTCCTGTCACTTGCTAGGAGCGAAGATAGTGGCACCAACTGGTGAGCGCTAAAGTGGTAGGAAGACTATCGGATTTGCACTCATCAAGATGGCGCCACTATAGAGTAAGGTCCTGTCAATCGCCAGGGGTGCCAACTGTTAAGTATAAAAACGATAGCCCTCATTGAGTTGATTACAGCTCAGTCTTAGAGCGGTATAATACTTCTAAAATAGATTTTTAGTAAATTGCAGAGTCATACATTTTTGTTTTAGGAGTCACGAAAACAGTCCTGCGGTCAGGAATCATACTAGCGATTGAAGAGTATCTGCAAGTATTCAGACTTATACTTTTGCTTCAGTTTATACTGTGGCTCCAGGATTCTCTGACACGGATTGATGGATTCATCCATCTGAATCGGTCCGATCGCGGTCGACGAATGGTTTAAAGGTTCACTTTACCGAAAAAATAAAGGCAGATAGCAGAGTCATGGACGAATGGGTTTTCTACTTTTTTTGCTATCAGCCCATTTGTTCACAGACACGTTAATGTTTATTCTAAGCTACGTCATACCGATATCTACTGAGACGTGTCAAAGCGCTTAGTGAAAGCCTATTTGCAAAAATAAATGACTTTAGGTTTTGTTAAGACAATCGAACGAAAATGTCGACTTTTTGACAATTCTCGCTTTTGAACAAATACAATAGCTGAACTGTGAAAGGGTCGGACGCGGGTTCGAACCAGTGATATGCAAGGATTCATAGCGAGGGATGTGTTTGTGAAGAACCAATAGAATCGCTTCATTTACTGAGGCGAGGTAAACGCGATGCGCATGAAGCGATTCTATTGCAGAAGCAATATTTTAGCTTACCACAAGGGATTAACAGGATTAGATTAGTAATTTGTATTTACAAATTGCTAATAATAGGTATTCTTTAAAAAAACAAAGTGGGGCCACGTGGAATAGTATAAAACACAAACAAAAAATTACGCTTCTTTTTCCATAGCATCAACAAAGGCTTGTTTGTTTATTCAATAAAGTACTTCCTTATCTTACCTACCTGTATACACAACTATCGCCTCAAAGCGGGCGGCGTCAAAGGCAGATTAATTAGCATAATAATTACTTGGCAAATCGCGGTAATCTAAAAACACAAACAAACCAACATTGTTTACCAAGATATTTACTATTAATATTCAGTTTTTTTTAAAATTAAATGATTGTACAAAAGGTGCGTAGCATTTTAGGAAACTTTTGCACAAGTGGAACATAAAATAGGGAAAACAATGGCAAACGCATTAAAGAACAATATACAGTATCTAGTATGCATTAAAGAAGTAGGTATATTATTAATATTTCTTGAACTCATTCCAGTTGAACTTGATCAAGCAACAGGCGGGGGGGCTGACTGTAAAAGTTCGCGAAGGAAACTTTTCTAATAGTGGAATATTCATGGAGGCATAAAGTATTCCATTTCATATTATTTTCTTAGTAAGACTAACTTTAGTAAGTAAATAATAATAGACCCAATATTTTGCTCTGTGAGATTTTGGCTATAAAATGAAGGATGCCAGCTCGTCGACTGTGGGGGTTGTAGGTAAAAGGTAATTATTAATACTAATATCAAAAACACCGGTTATCGTTATAGTTACGGTCAAAGTTAGGTGGTGCAACTCAGCCATAAGTAAGTACCTTTAATATCAGGTTATAAGGGATTCGCTCCGAAACTAAAATGTTAAATGGTCTGCTGTACTTACCAAGTTCTCTTCTTATTCTTAACTTTCTGCCTCTGGCCTGTGCGCCGCGTCGCGCTCGGTGCGCCTCTTTCCTTCTGATCCAGTGGCCTTCGGCTGCTGGGAAAGAAAATAACTTTATTATTATACAATACTACTATTTGGTTTACCAACTAATTCAATTAAAGCAGAGGTTCGATGATCCCCACACTTTACTTACAAATTGTAATCATATTTCAGCTCAATGAACCTAAAACTTGAGTGTTTTGTGAGATATACCTAATTAATACTCAATAATAGAGTGAAACATGAATATTACACTATAATTTAAATTCACAAGGAACGTAATAAACGCAAGTAATAATAAAGGAAATTGCACGCGTAAAAATCCCGCGGGTCGGGAGCGGGAGGAAAAAACAAAAGAATGTCGATATTCGTCGATGTAAAAAGAACACAGTTTTTCTTAGTGGCCAGTGTCGCACGGCCAAGGAGGCAGCCGTGTGCAGCCGCACTAGATTATTTTTTTATTCGTAGGTATAATTTGTTTTTCCTATGATTTTATTAGATAGCATAGGTTTTTTTTGTTTGGTTCTTTCCTCTAGGAGGAAAAGGCCAAGGCATTCGCCTTACATAACTTCTTTAGGTACTAATTCTAATAATTTATTAATAATTGGTCTAATAATTAAAAAAAAAGCTGAAAAATTTGCCAAAGATACACATTCATGAATTATTGTTGTTATAAATTGATGCGAATGCAAAATGCTCCATCCTTTGTATCCTATTTCTGCGTTTGAAATGAATATTCAATTTAGTCTATCGCTTAAACTCCAAAATGAATTTCATTTGCTAGTCATCATTAAGCTCGCTTTGAGCTTTCGAAATAAACATTCTATTGAATGAAATAGCTTGCTATTGAATAACTACTTAATGGAAGCTATCGATATTCTATCATAATACACAAATTAATAATGCTTATTCTATAACTTCTATCATTATTTATGCAATCATGCCTTTGTTTATGCCTTCTCGATTTATTTTAAACATTCTACTTTTTGGGTAGGGTAAACCGACAGTCATTGGACGCTGCCAGTCATTGGACAAAACAACCCTTGAATTTTCTTAAAATGAATATTCCTTCAAATACAATGAATATTCCTTAAAAAAACGCCCTTTTATCTCCATCAGTCGGAATCTCTCAGTTGTTGAAATAGAAATGCTATTTTTAATTCAGTAAATAACTGTCCAATAACTTTCTTAAGTGTCCAATGACTATTTATAATATTTTAAACAAAGAAGTAGCGAGATCCGATTGAAATTGGTAGATAACCACTTTGTGTCTAAAATTGGGTACCATATTTGCACAAAACTTCTTAAAGTGAGATCTTCATTTAGCTAAATTCTAAATTTAGCTAAAATCGGTTTAATTAGAGGATTACTTACTCGTAGTAACGCCCACATTGCAACACGATTTTGGTACCTGGTCTTTAGCGCTGCCAATTTATTTGAGAGCATACATGTACCTAATCTAAACAGAAAAGCAAGTCCATTCATCATTTTTGTTTTAATCTTTGCGGTTTTAGTTACGTGAGGATAATGGGTTTACTGCCCGACTCTCTCTAATTTAACAGAGGTAAATTGAGGATTATTATGAGATAAGATGGTTTTTCTTCCTCAATGTAACGTTTAATTGTTGCGAAGTACCTACCTATACGTAGTATCTAGACTTCGATGACTTTGTCAATTCGTTTGTTTCAGCCAAATGACATCTACTGCTGGACAAAGGCCTCCCCCAAGGCTTTTCATAACGACCGGTCCTGCGCTGCCCGGGATCCAGGTTCTTTCCGCGACCTTCACAAGATCGTCGGTCCGCCTAATAGAAGGCCTACCCACGCTACGTCTTCTGGCCCGTGGAAGTTGGCCCGTTGTCAATTATATAGGAAAAAAAAGTTCGCTTTCTAATCAAACGTTGGTAAAAAAATATATCTACAAATTACCGGTTCGTTTCTGGATCAGGAAAAATGAAGTGGCTGTATTCTTTCGGCTGTGGCATCCATGAAACAGCACGCTAGCAGAATCACAAGTAAGTTTAAACTATCCGTAAAGTTAAAGTTTGCCGCTAGTTCTCGAGTTAACTTGACTTGTAGTCAGCGAGTAGCCAGCTGGTGGTTTACTCTGAATGTTACGTGAATTAGGCATCACCAAAATTACCCACAGTATTAAATAACAGCTATTAACAGAAGTATATTTAAATGGTATATTATTCATAGCTGAGAGACTATTATAAAAAAAATGCTTTTGCAACTACAAAGCAAAGAGAGATAAAAACTTTATAATAATTATGAAATATTTTATAAAAAATATATTTTTGTAATACCTACTACTGGGGAAAGCCATAATAGGATCAGGCTTTGATAAATACTTGATAAAAATATCTGGGCTAATTTTATTAAGAGCTTTTGCGTAGTAATTCCAAGGAATTGCTTTTAAAACTTTTCACAAAATGTCTAAAACCACCCCTCTATCTTCAGTTGCTAACAATAGCTTTAACTTTATCTAAAAGACATCTAAAATACAGTTGACAGCACAGTCTTAATAAATTAATATTGATGCAAAATGACACCTATCACAAACTACAAAATGTCACCACATTATATTAGGTAGGTACATTTACCTTGATGTGCTGTCAGCCGAATCAACCTATTCTTTTCATTCCAATAAAAGAAAATAGACTTACACTGTCACCAATTTTCTTGAAAAAATCAAGATTTTCTTTTAAAGTGTCACATTGATTAATGAGAAATAAACATTGAAGACATGTCGCCTATCATTACCATAAAGTGAAAAATGGAGGAATCTACTCAAGTGAATTGAGAATTTGAGATTAGCATTTAGGGTCCAAATACTTTATCTTCTTCTATTACGTAATTTAAAGTGACAAATAAAACTAATCCGATAGAAGTTGAGGACATACTGTATGAAAAATGCACTGCGGCAGTTAGTATAATTTTCATAAAATATTAATATGTAAAGTTGTCACAACTCACGATAGACCATACATAATAGAAGTAGAACTATTAATATATTTGAAACCAGCTGTAAGTAATACCTTACTTATTTCATTATTTGTTTACCAAAAGATCTAAGAATCTTCCCATTCAATCCAAATTTTAATAGGTAAGTAACTAATACGATTTAGGTAACTTCAAAAAAGAAAAATTCTTGACTTATGTTTAGTACCTGAGGTTAAGTGAGAAAAATACACAGACAGACAGAAGGTACTAATTACTTTCGCATTTATAAATTAGCGTATTATCTTAGAATGCATGTAGGTGATGTTAATCAATCCCACTTCACTCAGCTCTGAGCTTCAAGCTCATTTATTATACAAATGTCTTTAGTTTTACTGGCGCATATAAAACTTAAGTGCTGTTCATAATGAAATACTGAATGGCTTTGGTACTGAAATTCATATAATTTTAATGTATAATTCCATAACTATCTCCCGTTTGTATAGTTAATTTAAATTCGTAAGCGTTTATGGCTGACGTTTTTATTTCGTTTAAATTATGAATATTTTATTAGATTTAATGTGACACTTTAGTGTGTGTAATCCGTATCTACGAGTATAATATGCTGATATCTTACATAAGCTTTTATAAGTGTGATTTGCAACAAAAAATATTGTCTGATACGCTTTAATTTCGTTATAAGTTACCTACACCACATTTTGGAGATTTTAACGAGTGTTCTTTGTGTGAATCTGTATTAAGTTTTTTTTTTTAAATATTTGGAACGGTTAAATATCTATGGACAACGAACTTCTGTATTAAAATAATTTAAAATTAATCTCGCTGAACTTCCCCTTTACAGTTGATAAGACATATTTATTTTACTTTTTCATTCCTAATATAACTCGATCAATTCAGTCATATTATTTTAAATACCCTCAACATTAAGGTTACTATAATTTTACATCGATTTTCTTCAATGTCATCGTTCAGATTCAATTTTTACTTAGACTATAAAATATTTGTCAACCGAAAGAAAACCTTATTATTTCTTAATATAAGGTTGATTAAAATATGCAATGAAATCAAAACATTTTAGTGTGATGGAATTAATGAAGCAGACCGATCGTAAATGGTGAATGCGGGTTCGATTTCCATTACGAGAGCCATTAGGCGCTTTTATGTTATGAAATGGCCGGACTAGGTTACCTAGGATAGGCAAATTTAGTCATCGACTACGAAGATACCTAGTAGAATTACAGCTAAAAGTACATATTAATATTTTTGCAATTGATTGGAATTTTAAGGAGGAAAAGATTTTCAGCTGTTTATAGTAGAGACACTGGCATTTTATTTATCAAAAAGTGCGTGCGCAAAAACAATCCAAACACTTAAAAAAATGGCATAAAACAGCAGAAGACCGAAGTAGATGGCGACATCTCCTATACTCGTAAAGACTCGTGGCATATCACGTTAAATATTTCCCTCGCACTCACACTGGATAAAGTACTTACTCCTTACTTACTTAAAGATTTTTTTCTTACGAACTTTTTCTTTTTATGTGATCTTCAGTTAATTAAGTAATTCAGATTTGGGTCTAACTTGGTGCGAAATCTGTAGTTTCGGAGTGTTTGGTTAGTGTTTACGAGATTGATTGATTGTTAATTATATGTGGGTGACTGACATGGCTTTTCCAAGAGATACAAAAAAGAGACGCTCAATCGACGAACTGTCTTACGAGACAGTGTGTGGGACGATTCGTAAGAGTACCATCTATTGCTCCCTAAATTAAGTTTGTCGTTAGTTTATTGAGTTGAACCAGAGTAACACCTACTATCCTACTAAGTTTATATGCGAGTTATATTATAAAATATTCCCGAAAAGTAATTTTATGTGATTGAGTACTGTAAATGAATGGGGTTTTTTTTCTTTAGATGTACTTCTGGATAACCTGACTGAACTGTAAAATTATAGAAGTTGACCCGACAATATTACAATACGTTTTATCAATTTAAATGTTTATTCCACTCTGTAAATATCTATCTCAAAACTTTAGCTCTTTTTAGTTCTGTACGCTTGACCAACTCGTAGAAAACTTTAATCCAACCGCAT